TTTCCTTTCTTTTTTTGCCGTTTCTCCATTTCCTTCTTCAATTTTTCTGTCTAGTTCTGTACTTTCTATTTATCTGTTGTTTATTCTAGTTCTCTTGTTATTATCTATCTATTTATATATGTCAGTCTCTTTATTCTATTTGCCCATCCTTCTCATTTTCTTATGCCCATCTCTCTGTCTGTTTATTTCTTTCTCTCTCTCCTCTCTCTCCTCTCTCTCTCTCTCTTCTCTCTCTCTCTCTCTCCTCTCTCTCTCTCTCTCTCTCTTCTTTCTTCTCTTTCCTCTTCTCTCTCTCTCTCTCTTCTCTCTCTCTCTCTCTCTCTCTCTCTCTCTCTCTCTCTCTCTCTCTCTCTCTTCTTTCTCTCTCTCCTCTCTCTTTCTCTCTCCTCTCTCTCTCTCTCTCCTCTCGGAATATGCAACTTTCTCAAAGATTATTCACTCACAGTTAATGAAACCTTAAATCAATTATCCTGGAAGTCATTATGCGTCATTTCACTAATTATTTGATGATACTGTAATGGGGGTGTGTGTGTGTGTTGGAGAGAGAGAGAGAAGAGAGAGAGAGGAGAGAGAGAGAGAGAGAGAGAGAGAGAGAGAGAGAGAGAGAGAGAGAGGGAAGAGAGAGAGAGAGAGAGAGAGAGAGAGAGAGAGAGAGAGAGAGAGAGAGAGAGGGGAAAGAGAAGAGAGAGAGAGGGAGAGAGAAAGAGAGATAGAGAGGAGGGAGAGAGAGAGAGAGAGAGAGAGAGAGAGAGAGAGAGAGAGAGAGAGAGAGAGAGAGAGAGAGAGAGAGAGAGAGAGAGAGAGAGAGAGAGAGAGAGAGAGAGAGAGAGAGAGAGAGAGGGAGGGAGAGAGAGTGGAGAGGAGCGGGGGAGAGGGAGGAGAAAAAGAGAGGGGGAGGGGCAGAAAGGGGGCAAAACACACACAAATACACGCACATACTTAGAGACTGGAAGGGCAACATATAAACATACACACATACACAGATAGATAAATAGACAGAAGAACAAAAAGGTAGTCAGGCACACACACACACACACACACATACACAACATACACACACATAGACAAATTTACACAGAAACAGACAAGTAGTCAGAGAGATAAGCACACACACACACAGATAGACAGACAGAGAAACCGACACACACATATAGAAAGATAGACAGTGAAATAAACATTCAGGCAGAAAATGAAGGTAATTAAGCAGACGAGGATAAAACGAAGGAAAAACAACAAGAAGTCAAGAAAAGAGACAGACAGACAGTGGCAGACAGCAAGACGCCAATAACCCGCCCAGCCTGCCTGTTGTACCGCCGTGTACCCGCACCGCGACCTCTTGTGACCTGTGCCGTACCCTCTGACCTCTCAACCTCCCTCCTATCATGACCTACCCACCCAGTTCCTTCTCTCTCTTCTCTCTCTCTTCTCTCTCTCTCTCTCTCTCTCTCTCTCTCTCTCTATCTATCTATCTATCTATCTATCTATCTATATGTATCTCTTTCTCTCTCTCCCTCTCTTTCTCACGCTTTCTCTCTCTCTCTCTCTCTCTCTCTCTCTCTCTCTCTCTCTCTCTCTCTCTCTCTCTCTCTCTCTCTCTCTCTCTCTCTCTCTCTCTCTCTTCTCTCTTCTCTCTCTCTCTTTATCTCTATCTATCTATCTATATATCTATCTATCTATTTCTATCTATCTATCTGTCTATCTATCTATCTATCTTTTCTCTCTCTCTCTCTCCTTCGCTTTTCTCCTCTCTCTCTCTCTCTCTCTCTCTCTCTCTCTCTCTCTCTCTCTCTCTCTCTCTCTCTCTCTCTCTCTCTCTCTCTCTCTCTCTCTCTCTCTCTCACTTACTCCTTCCTTCATGTTTATCATCATTGTTATCACTATCGCTGCCATTAGCACAATTACCATTTACATTATGATTACCTTATCCTCTTTATTATCATTCCTTAATCGCTACCATTGTCACCCCTATCGCTGTTGTCATTATGAACAATGAAAATATGACGTTAACAGGAAAAAAATCATTATTTCGCTAAGTTCAAAAACCTGCCGTTCCAATCCTGATTCTGTGAGATACATTGCAATCCTAACAGGTTCCGCTTCGTCTGCAGGAAGTGGCAGATTGAAAAAGGAAATAAGCATACGTGTTTTTTTCCTTTGTTCGTAAATTTAAGTTTCATTCTCTGTCGATGTAATGAGAAGAACACAGAGACATTGTACAAATGTTAGAACTGCATATCTATTTGCAATGTTTTCATATATATGTGTGTGTGTGTCTGTGTGTGAGTACATATACACACAAATGAATATACATATAGATTTAGATTCATATATATATATACATATATATATATTATATATATATATATATATATATATATATATATATATATATATATATATAATATATTATATATATATATATTATATATATATTATTGAATGTATATACACAGCTTGATAGACACATATAAACAAACACACATGTATGTACATACATATG